AGGAGCCCCCGCCCGGAGTTTGGGGTTTTCCGCCCCTCCCGCGCTCCCCTGCGACCCGGGCCGGCGCCGGGACAGCCGCTGCGCTGGGAGAGCTCTCCAGGGGGATGGGGACACACACACTTAGTCACTCGGGCCCCCAACTCATCCGCAAGTTCCGGGCGCCACCTCCGCGTTCTCGGGGTCCTTCCAGCCCTGAGTAGGACTTGATTCTGCAGTTAATCAGGAGGCTCTCTGCTTGACCTGGGGCACCCAATAATGTGCGAATGTAATGGAAGAGACAGCGGAGAAGGGCCGAAGCTCCTGTCCAGAGAATGAATGAGGATCCCTTCTCAGTTTTTGGTTTATCTGGTTGGGACGAGCAGAGCTCCATTCTACCTTCGTCCCGTTTTATTGACCAGAAACATTCACTGCATTCAGCAGGCATTCTTTATGCGCCTGTGGTGTGCCCAGCTCTGTGGGAGTGAGAGCCCACGTGGGAGTGAGAGGTCATCTTGGAGGGCTTCATGGAGGAAGTGGCACTTGAGCTGAGTCTCAGAGGACTTGGTAGGGGACCCAGGGAAGACAGGCTGTTCCGGCCAGGGAAACAGTAGGGAAAGGCAAGGAGTTTAGTGGTGTTGGAGCTTTCCAGCTGTAAAAGAAAGCGACAGGAGGATGCAGACTGATTGTGAAGGGTCTTTAATTGCAGCAAGTCTAGGACTCGAGTGAGGGCCTAGAGTGCAAAACTTAGGGGTAGGCGCACAGCCGTGACAGTGAGTGCCGCCTCAAATGTTGGGCCCTGGGGGCCTCGCTTGTCTCACCCTAGCTCCTGTCCTAGGTGACAGGTTAAGCATATAGTCTTTATCCCATAGGCACTGGGGAGTCGTGGGAAGTTTCTGAGCACTGGCAATGCGCAAAGTCCTTGTTAGGAAGTTTTTGGTACGACCTGGGTGAAGGGAGAAGTCTGAGCGCTTGAGCTAAGGGATGGCTCCTTTCTGCTGCTGAGGACATGGGGGCTGAGCAGCTGTGGACGGTGTCCGTTTTCACTTAGAAAAAATGTACTGACCATAGACCGCGTACTGTAGCTCACCTGTCTCCCTCGGCCTGTGAACTAAGTATTATTTTACTGATGAGGAAGCAGGCTCAGATGGTCTGAGGAGCCTGACTGGCTGAGTCCGCGGGCTGTCTGCCCCGCACCGTGTCCAGTGGTTTCATCTCTGCTGTGGCCTCCACCCAACCCACTTGCCAGCTCTCCTCTTCCAGGGAGCCCCTTCTGCCTGTGGAATGTCTCTGTTCTGAACCCTCGCCAAGTTGGGGGTCACTGCCTGGAACTGTGACAGCCCAGTGGGAACAGCCTGTGGGTCTCAGATATGGTCACCCCTTTATCTCCTATGTGGGGCTCCCATGTCTAGCATCTTACTCAGTCTTGACAATGAGCTGCCAGATGTCACTTCCAATGTACAGATGGGGAAATGGAGGCCCAGAGAGGTTATGTCATTTGCTGGCAAGAACCAGGGCCTAAACCCAGGGTTTCTGACGTATGGGCTCTGCTCTTACAACTCCACTTTGGCTGCTAAGGAGTGATGTCCCTCTTCTCCTGTGTGAGCTCCCCACTAACCAGGGTGTTCCCAAGGGGGTGGTGTGAGGCATGAACTCTCTGTCTCCCAGGGTGTCTCTGCCCCCCACAGCGTGGCCTCAGCCCATTCCCAGTATAATTGCTGCTCAAGACAGTAGGCAGAATCATCCTGTCCAGTTCCTAGGATGCTTGGATTTCCTCTGCTGCATCTGTGCTTTGCTCACTGCCTCTTAAGGTAACCCATTCCAGCTTCCACCTGCTTTGTTGCCAGTTTTTGTATTATAATGAAAGTATTATAATTAGGCCGGGCACCATGGCCTGTAATCCCAGCACTTTGGGAGGCCAAGGTGGGTTGATCACTTGAGTCCAGGAGTTCAAGACCAGCCTGGCCAGCATGGAGAATCCCCGTCCATACTAAAAATTACAAAAAGTATCCAGGTGTGGTGGCCCATGCCTGTAATCCCAGCTACTTAGGAGGCTGAGGCACCAGGATCCCTTGAGCCTGGGAGGCGGAGGTTGTAGTGAGCCGAGATCGCACCACTGCGCTCCAGCCTGGACAACAGTGAGACTCTGTCTCAAAAAAAAGAAAAAAAAAAGTATTATAATTAATGCCCATGATAAATCCAATAACAAAAGCTTCAAGTTTTAAAAAGCAGCAATCCCTGTCCCACCCTTCCTTGGCACCAGAGACAATCACCTTAGCTTCTTTTAGCTGTTTTTACCAGAGTCAAATTCGTATTTTCAAATAATAGGCTTGTAACAATAGCAAACACTATGTAGCACTTTCTGTGGATCAGGCCCTGCTCTTAAGTTTTTGCGTATATTAATTAAACCACGACCCTTGACATAGGATCTCCTGGCCAGGCGCTGTGGCTTGTGCCTGTAATCCCCGCACTTTGGGAGGCCGAGGTGGGTGGATCACGAGGTCAGGAGTTCAAGACCAGCCTGACCAACATGGAGAAACCCTGTCTCTACTAAAAATACAAAAATTAGCCAGGCATGGTGGCGTGCACTTGTAGTCCCAGCTGCTCGGGAGGCTGAGGCAGGAGAATTACTTGAACCCAGGAGGTGGAGGTTGTGGTGAGCCGAGATCGCACCACTCCAGCCTGGGCAACAAGAGCGAGACTCCGTCTCAAAAAAAAAAAGGAGATATAGGATCTACTATTATCTCCATTTTACAAATGAGGACATCGAGGCCCAAGAAGTTAAGTGACTTGCTGAAGATCTGGTTAGAAGCAGAGCTGGGATATGAACCCAAATAGACTCCAAAGTCCACAGTCTTTTTTTTTTTTTGAGATGGAACCTCGCACTGTCACCCAGGCTGGAGTGCAGTGGCGCAATCTCTGCTCACTGCAACCGCGGCCTCCCAGGTTCAAGCGATTCTCTTGCCTCAGCATCCCGAGTAGCTGGGATTACAGGCATCTGCCACCACGCCCAGCTAATTTTTTGTATTTTTAGTAGAGATGGCATTTCACCATGTTGGCCAGGCTGGTCTCAATCTCCTGACCTTGTGATTCGCCCACCTCAGCCTCCCAACATGCTGGGATTACAGACGTGAGCCACCGTGCCCGGCCAAGTCCACACTCTTAAAAACTATACTCAACTGCTATTTCTTGGTTTATTTTATTTTATTTTATTGTTTTTTTGATACGGAGTTTCACTCTTGTCCCCCAGGCTAGAGTGCAGTGGTGCGATCTCGGCTCACTGCAACCTCCACCTCCTGAGTTCAAGCAGTTCTGCCTCAGCCTCCTGAGTAGCTGGGATTACAGGTGTCTGCCACCACGCCCAGCTAATTTTTGTATTTTTACTAGAGATGAGATTTCACCATGTTGGCCAGGCTGGTCTCTAACTCCTGACCTCAGGTGATCCACCCACCTTGACCTCCCAAAGTACTGGGATTACAGGCATGAACCACTGCACCCAGCCTTTGATTCCTTTTAGAAAAAATGAAAATTTTTAAAAATTAGCCGTGTGTGGCAGCACATGCCTTTCTGTGGCCCCACCTACTCAGGAGGCTGAGATGGGAGGATTGCTTGAGCCTGGGAGGTCAAGGCTGCAAGGAGCCATGACTGTGCCACTGCATTCCAGCCTGGGCAGCAGAGCAAGACCTTGTCTCAAAACTAAAAAATAAAAAGAAGATATTAGTCCCTTACCCTAAACTTTAGCTTTCATCACCCTTTCCTACAATTTCTGTCCTCTGTTTTCATGTTATCAAAGTAGACTATAATTATCTGCTGCTTCAAAACCATAATTATCTTCCATGTTTTATCTGTGGATTGACTCTAAACATTGAAAATTAATATATAATGTGTATGTTATTTAAGCCATGTATTTAATAAATATCGTTCTAACAGAGCCAAATAATGTTTAACAGTTAAATTTGCTTTCTTTTTTTTTTTTTTTT